AGACAGGAAAAGAAAAATGCTCCAGAATATCATGATATCCACAAAATGATAAGCAAGGAGTGCAAACAAGCAAGAAAAAAGTGACTAGAGATGAAATGGGAGCACATGGAGAACCTTAATAATTCACATCAGACGAAGGTTATGTAAGATGATATCAAGAAATTTACAACAAAGAGAAAATGTGTTAAAAGATGGAGACATGATCTTAAACGAAAAGGAAATTCTAAGGAGGTGGTCAGAATATTTTTAGGATCTCTTTGAATATGATAGGCAAGAAAAACCTTCACAAAAAACAACAACGAAGGGACAATTATTCTTAAATATGAAGTAGAAAATACACTAAAATATATAAAAACAAGTAAAACATATGAAATGTAGAAATATCCACTGAAATGCTCAAGGCCTTTGTTTAATGTTGACTAACTGACAGAAATGTACAATGGTATGTATAACACAGGGCACATCCCAGAAGGCCTAAAGGATTGTTTGTTTTTGAATTTCGCGCAAAGCTACACGAGAGCTATCTGCGCTAGCCGTCCCTAATTTAGCAGTGTAAGACTAGAGGGAAGGCAGCTAGTCATCATCACCAACCGCCAACCCTTGGGCTACTCTTTTACCAACGAATAGTGGGATTGGCCGTCACATTATAACGCCCCCACGGCTGAAAGGGCGAGCATGTTTGGTGGGACGGGGATTCGAACCCGCGACCCTCAGATTGCGTATCGAGCGCCTTAACCACCTGGCCATGCCGGGCACAGGCCTAAAGGAATCGGTTTTTATCATCCTCTCTAAGAAGCCAAAAGCAGTAGATTGCTTAGACTTCAGAACGATCAGCCTGATAAACCATGTCACCAAATTATTACTTTATTATCTCGGAAAGAATCAAATACAAAACAGACAAAGAGGTCAGCGAGGAACAGTTTGGATTCAGAAGAAACAGTAGAACGAGAGAAGCAATATTCAGCATAAGAATGATATTAAAAAATACTGTAAAATACAGAAAAACATTTACACCTGTTTATAGATTCGACTAAGATATTCGACGAAGTCCACCATTCAAAGCTGATAAAATGTCTTGAATATATTACTTTTGATGGCCAGGAGATTAGGCTTGTTACCAATCTGTACTTGGAACAATGACAGGAACAAGATCCAACAATGTGTTATCGACATTGATTGAAATAAGAAGAACTGTGAGATAGGGATGTGTGATCTTTCCTCATCTCTTTAACATGTATACAGAAATGATCTTCAGAGACATAGAAAGAACGGAAGGTGGCATGAATGTAAATAATCCCAGATATGTAGATGACACTGTGCTACTGGCTGAAGATCCGAAAAAAAATAAACAAATTGTAGATAAGCTTAAAGATAAAAAGGAGGAGTATGGATTTAATAAGAATGTTAAGAGAGCGAAGACAACTGTTGTCGTCAAGAAGAAATCTAAAATAATAAACGGACAAGTTAAGAGCTTTATTTACCTTGGTCAAATAACCAGAGAAGATGGCATATGTGTACAAGAGATAAGAAGAAGAAAGGCTATTGCGAAAATCCCCTTTAACAATATTAAATAAATTCTGACATCAAGAAAAATAAATATCCAACTAAGAATATGAATGATAAATTGCTTCACATGGTCGTTGTATGGTGCAGAGATATGGACAATTAATAAAAGTATAGAGAAAAAGCTGGGAACATTTGAAATACATAAGGAATTCCAAAAATAACCAGTGGGATTAATTGCAATATTTAGGAAAGTTTTATTTGCATTTTGTTTGTGACTCGTGTTATTAGAGTCTCTGAAACCAACAAAGACATAGACTCACAAGCTGTTTTGCGTATAAATAGTTAATAACTTAGTTTTTAAAAGTCGATGGAGTTTAAAGAGAACCCATTGTAATTCTAGGATTAACAAAACCACAATAATTTTCAGTTATTCCCCTCTTTTTCTTATTATTAACCCTCTTATTACCTACGTAGTGATATAAAATTTATACTGGTTGTTGCCTTGACCACAAGATAGGGAATAATGATACCTTAACAGTAGAAACACACAGAGTCAGCTGTGATTTTTCGATTTATGCTTGCTGAACTCCCCTATTTTCACATAGCTCCTCCTGCTAAACCTTATACCTGAGCGGTTGAATATAATTCTATTTCTGAACACCCCTGGTTTCCTACAGACCCCGAATTCTACTTGGGTTAGTGTCCCAGGATTCAAACCAAAACATCTACAAGTTAAAACTAGGGCTCGGCATGGCCAGGTGGTTAGGGCGCTCGACTCGCAATCTGAGGGTCGCGGGTTCGAATCTCCGTCCCACTAAACATGGTCGCCCTTTCAGTCGTGGGGGCGTTATAATATGTAACGGTCAATCCCACTATTCGTTGGTAAAAGAGTAGCCCAAATGTGGGCGGTGGGTGGTGATGACTAGCTGCCTCCCCTCTAGTCTTACACTGCTAAATTAGGGACGCCTAGCGCAGATAGCCCTCGTGTAGCTTTGCGCGAAATTCAAAAACAAACAAACAAATAAGTTAAAACTAATCTAAACTTCAACGGGGCAGAGCCCCAATTGACTGAATAACACATCAGCCTCTTTTTCAAGGATACCCAGGATCGAATCTTGGCCATTACAAGCACATAAAAAGTCTTTGCGCAACAGATCAGCATCCGAAATATAGGATAAAACTCGGTAGTAATCATTATTTAGGGAAAAGATACAAACAAAAGTCAATAATTAAGTTAAGTCAAACTGAATTAGGCCTATTACTAAAAGTACTTTGAAGAAAATATTATGCCAGAGTCTTCAACTATATAATAGTAGTAGAAGTAATAGTATTAAAATAATCTTATTGGGTACAGCGCCACACTACCAGAACGTGTTTTGACGGGACTCCTTTAATTGTGGGTAAAGTTACACCGTTTCGTATAATTTAAACAATTTGTAATTTATGCGATATAATTTGACCTCACATTATATTATCTTGGCTTTACAAGAACAGTGACAAGAAGAACATGGCTTAAGCTAATAACCAAAATTAACGTGATTTTATTGATGTTATTTAATTTCCTGAAAGAGTTAAGGATAAGTATCTTGCAAGTTGTATAGTAGTCAGTAGAGTGCTTACCAATGTTGTAAGTTGTATAGTAGTCAGTAGAGTGCTTACCACTGTTGCAAGTTATATAGTAGTCAGTAGAGTGCTTACCAATGTTGTAAGTGGTATAGCAGTCAGTAGAGTGCTTACCGATGTTGTAAGCTGTATAGTAAGTCAGTAGAGTGCTTACCAATGTTGTAAGTTGTAAAGCAATCAGTAGAGTGCTTACCAATGTTGTAAGTTGTATAGTAGTCAGTAGAGTGCTTACCAATGTTGCAAGTTGTATAGTAGTCAGTAGAGTGCTTACCAATGT